GTCATCACCCAGACCCAGAAGCCGTCGTCCATGATCTGGTACCATCAAATAATCAGGATGCATCTTGTGTCCACGATGCCCGATGCGTCCTCGTAATCGCCATCCTCAGGCCTCTGCAGCAGGACAACAGGCCACCAGCTACCATTGGCCTCGGGGCTCTGGAAGACCATCTCCGGGTTCCTCAGGGTTTAGGGTTTAGGGTTCAGGGTTCAGGGTTCAGGGTTCAGGGTTTAGGGTTTAGGCCTCTGGAGCTCGGTGTGGAGCTTGAGATGGTCCTTGGAGTACGTGGCATTGCAATACCTCCCGGATGTAGATTTATAGTTCACCCAGGCCAAATGGTACTTGGCCACCTGTACTCGTGTGAAAACCCCCTGGCCACTCTTCCTATCCTATATTCTAAACCTTATCGCTATTTTTTATTGGTTATCGTTTTTACCCAAGCCCACCTGCTCCTTCGTCAGGTCGTGAGTTTTGGCTTTTGTGGACGTGCCAAACTTCACCTTCATGGGCTTCTCCTGGTGCATCGACTTCGCCAGCGACGGGAGGGTCTCCTCGTCGCCCCAGTACTCCATAGCCCCACTGAGGCTGAGCTCCTGGAGGCCGCCGCCGAATCGCCTCACCCGAAGAAACGAGTTCTTCACGTCCAAGTACTTCATGGTGCCTGGATTGCCAGACAGCATATAGTTGCACTGGAGGTGCTCCTTCATGTTTTTGCAGTGCTGGTTGCTCTGCACGTGGGACTCGTCCAAAATCTGCTTGCACAAGGGGCACGGTTTGTGCAGGTAGTTGACCAGCAGCACCTCGTTGCTCGGCCGTGATCTCCGGGAACTTCATGCCCGGAAACTCTTCGTGCTCTTCGAAGAGCCTCTTGAAGAGGTTCTCTTTCTGGTTCTCCCCCAGCTGCTGCAGCAGGACCTCCGAGAGGTTGGAGCTCCCCTTCCGGTACTCCTTCACCATGCTGTTGATCTCTTCCGGACCAAGCTTTCGTGCCTCTTCCCTCGTGATGACCCCTTTATGGATCAAAGCTTTCTTGGCCTTCTTGGCAACCCTCGCGGGGCCTCTTTGATTCTCCGGCTTGCTCTGGGACCTCTTGCTGGAGGTTATTGTCTCATTCTCGGAAAGCGGGTCCTCCCCGGCATCATCTGACATCTGGGAAGAAGCCAGCGCCTTCAGGGAATCTTATCCAACTTCACACTCCCGCTGGCCGGCTCCATGTCGAGGAGCTACGAATTTGGGTGTTTTTTGGGCACCCTTTTATAAAATAAAAGGGTGCCCAAAAAAACACAAGTCTACAAATTAAAGCATCTATACTGCTTGCTACCACATGTGTGTGAACCTGTCTATATAACAACATGCATTCGCAAACCATCTTAGATGCCTGCCCTAACTCGGTGTAACACCAAGAAAGGGACAAGGCGGGCACAGACAAAGATATACAAACTAAAACATGTTAAGCTGCTTGCTACCACATATGCTTTTCGCAAA